TTTAAAGCAAATCCCAAAAAGGCACCCTTTTCCCATAAGCACTCCAATATTAAAACGCTTTATAGATGTTTACATTTTCATAATTAAAAATAATACATGATAGCCGTAGAAAATTTGGAAAATGAAGAAACAATTTATTAATAAAGGAAAGAATAAAAATCACTCATATGCCACCACATAGAGACAAACACATTTTGGAATAATCTATTATTTTTTTATGCACATATTAATTTTTGGCAAGAATTGAGTCATATTGTATATGCTATTTTTAGGTATCATTTTATTTTAATTATAAAAATAATAAGACCATAATACAGAAAAATGAGAAAAAATTACCCACAATCCCTTAGCAGCTAATATAAAAGCTGTTAATAGTTCAATATACTCCTTCCCATTTTTTTCAATTTGCATTCATAATTTTACTACAAGTAGAATACTACTGATTATGCACTTTTCAAGTTATGAATCTATAATAATTGTGAGAAAACAATGTAATCATACTGCAAAAACAATTTTGATGAAGGAAAAGTATTACTCATAATCCCACCACTCAATTATAATCACTGTTAAGCCGTTTTGGTATATTTTCACCTAAGTTTTTCTATGTACATAGAAGTTCAACAAAAACAGATCCCAAGTACTTAAGAGACTGAGGCCAAACAGCTGAAAGTTCAAGGCCTTCCTAGGCTACAGAGTAATATTCTGCCTCAAAAAAAGCAAAATATACTTTTTATGGAGTTTATTAACTATAAATTTATATGTACTTAAAAGAAAAATAAACCAGGTGTGGTGGTTTTAATCTCGGCACTTGAGGCAAGTGGATCTTTGTGAGTTCAAGGCCAGCCTGGTCTACATATTGATTTTCCGGGATAGCCAAAGCTACATAGAGAGACCCTATCTCAAAAAAAAAAAGAAAGAAAGAAAGAAAAGAAAGAAAGAAAGAAAGAAAAAGAAAGGAAGGAAGGAAGGAAGAAAGAAAGAAAATGACGACATTGGATTGATGAGATGATTGGGCAGGTCATGAGCCTGATGACCTGGGTTACATCTCCAGGATACACATGTAAAGCCATCCTCTCACCTCTACACATACACAGTGGCAAGTACAGAGCACACATGCACACATTCTTACACACACACACACACACACACCAAGTAAAGTACAATGGAAAAGAGTAATATACTATATAGTATAGAGAAAATAGAAAGATAATTCAGAATTTTGTCCCTTACTGACACTGTATTTTGGTGTTTTATTCACAGATTCTTACATGGTTGGAAGCATAGAAGTATTCATTTTGGAGCCTTTGTACCCTCTGCACCTTGGCATCATATTTATGCAACTTTGTACCCAGAGGTTTTATTCAGTATTTTCTCACGAATAAACATTTTTAAAACCAGGAACTTGGGAGGTAGTGGTTGAGCTACCAAGGGAAACTCTCTGGCCACGGACCTTCATGGTTGGTTTCTATTATAAACAATTTTACTCCTTATATGTATATGAAGGATAATTGTTTATATATGAGCGTATGTACGTATGTATGCTTATTTATTTATATGTATCCCAGGCTGTTCCTAAACTTGCTGTGTAGCCTAGGTTGGCCTAGACTTTGCTGTGTGACCCAGCTGTCCTGGAACTAATAATGATCCTGTCTCTGCCTCCTGATTACTGGGGTCACAGGTGTGTGCTGCCACATTGGCTCTCCTAAATATACTTGAATAAAAGTGTGTAGGGGTGGGAGGAAGAGATGCTTCAGGAGTCAAGAGCATTTACTGCTCTTGCAGAGGTCCTTGGTTCAGTTCCCAGCACCCACAGAACAGCTCACAAACCACTGTAACTCCAGTTCCAGGGCATCCAACTCCCTCTTCTGGCCTCCTGCATGTATGTGGTGCAAATGAAATCACAAAAGCACATACACATACTTTTTAATTTAAATTTGTACTTTTAAACTTTCTATACACACATCGAGTCCATTTTTGGAGTCCATTTCTACATTTACAGGCTGACCTATAAAATGTGATTATCTTTTATTGATCCCATTTTTATTCCTGTCATATAGTCCAGGCAGCTTTTGCTGTGGTGAGTGGAGTTTTTGGAAACAAATCTGCATTCTCATCTCCCTTTTCTTCCTGAGTTTTAGACCTCAGTCAGCAAGTGTTATTGGACTTGAAGAGTCTGAGAGCTGAGGCAGGGACAGGGCCAAAGGAAAAGAATCAGAAGGCACCCAATCCCAGCATGTACTAGCCATTTTACTACACAATATCCACCAGTCAAGCTAAAGCTTTCTTTCTAACCCTTACAGATTATGTGAATTTGTTGTGATATCCACTTAATAGGAAAACTGAGCACATATATACATATACCAATACAGTCTCTTACCCTAACACCACACAGCTAGCAAATGGCAGAGCAGGGATTTAATCCAGGCGACTGACCCTTGAACCTGCACCCTCGACCTCTTCTTTTTTCTCCAAGGCAGCAAGGTGTAGGGCTATAGGGTAAAGACTGCAGCCAGCCTCACAAGGATCAAAACTCCCTTCCTCTTGTCTGTGCCAACTTGGGCAGTTCTCTGAGGCTATTTCTACCTTAGGTACCTCAACCTCACAGAGCTGTCACAGGAGTTAAATGATATGATGGAAGGGAGAGAATGATCGATGCCCGGCTCATGGCTGGCATTTAGAAGGTTATTGTTGGGTGAGCATCACTTCTCTCTTGGCTTCACAAGCTTGTGGTCTAGTTGCCAAGTTGGAGAAAAGAGTTTAGCGGAGCTCCGAGGTAGCCTGGGGCGGGCTGGGAAGTCAGTGATCCAAGGCATATTTGCCTAGAAATGCAAATGTCTTCTTTGCTCCCTCTCAGCTTCTGCCACTAACCTCAACTCCCATTCCCCCCAAAAGGAAATGGGTGGTTTTTCTGCTTCAAAGCTGAGTGCTTAAAGACCCTCTCATTCCTACTCCCTGGGAGGTGGGCAGTGGCGATGACAGGAAGTCACCCGTGGGTGGGGGTCTTTCTGGAACTTGGGCAAATAGAAATGTGGTGGAGGGTGCTCCTTTTTCTGCCCTTCAGTGGTCCGGATGGGGGAGGGGGCTAGCTGTTGAGCAACTGCTCCAGAGACACTCCAGAAACAGAGATGAACATATGCCTCTTTCTAACAATTGGCCTGGGAGCCATCCAATAGACGGAGGGCGGATCCACAGGTCTGGGATCCGGAGCCTGCAGCCCAGCTGTGTCCGCAGTTTAGGAACCAGCTCCCCAAAGAGGAGGAGGGGGCAGGTCAGGGGTCCAAAATAGCACGCGTAATTAAAAAGTCTAGCCTAAGTCCGCTCCTTCTCCACCCTGGCTTTCACAAAAACTTTTCTCACCCCAGGCAAACACCAAGAAATTTTGGAGGTGTACCTCTCCTGCTACCCCAGTAGAGCCTTAGGGTCCCACAGATCGTGCCTTTTCCCTACAAGAAACTAGACACGCCCCACAACCTTCAAGCCCAGTGAGAAAATGCAGCATGGTGTGTAGAGTGTACTTGTTACCCGAGTTTGACTTGCAAAAGAGTGGGAGGGGGCAAGCAATGAGCAGCACAAGTAAGGCGGCTTGGCAGTCGAACTGGGGGAATGGGTTTCTCTGGTTATCCAGGGTACTCACCGCAGCTTCTTCGAAATACCCAAAGAAGGGCCTAGATCTGTCCCTCCATTTGCGCCCCCTGTTTGTAAGCAGGCGGGTGGTTCCATCAACAAACAGGACTCCGTCCGAAGAACAAATTCAGGACACTTGCGATCCTAAAAGAAGAAAAAAGATCTTCAGGTCTTCAACGCCAACTAAGACACAATATACACACACAGGGTGAAAATGCCTTTGCAACATCCCCCCACCCCCGTTTCCTTAACATCGTACTTAAAAAAATAAACATGTTTTATAAACAGTGTAAACTGAGTTGTTGAGAGGAGGGGTGGAAGGGGGTAAGGGTGAGAGTGGGGGGCTTGATTAAAGGGAGTAATCTTGGTGGCCTTCCTGCAAGGGGTGAGGTTGGAGTTTCCAGCCACACGGAATACCTTGAAATGAAAAACCCCAGATCTCTTTCAGTAAAGGTTTGTAAGACAACGTACCAACAAAGGGGAGATATGCTCCAAGTGCAGAATGTTGTTCTTGCTAGGTGTGAATAATTATATAATGATAATAAAATAACCTGGCATCGTGGGAAGGCGAGAGGAATCTCTGCGAACTCTGTGGCAAGCTTTTCGAACCCGCTGCCTGCTCTTGGCTTCTCCGTGAGCCATGTGAATTGCATGCATGCACCTAGCCCCACGGTCCAGTAGAACAGCATTTCTCAGCGTCGTTGCATCCTGCCAGCCTCTTTCTGCCCTGAATGACCACAGGACAGAAAGCCTTGAAACCAACCCTGGGCCTTGAGGGAAGCCACCGCTGCCATAAGATCCCTCTAAGTGGCCTTGAACAAAATGTAGGGAGTTTCGGGGAAAAGGTACCCTCCAGTCTCCGACATTCAGGAGACGATGTAGCCCGCAGAGGGCAAACGGGCTCAGAGAAAGCCCTGCAGAAAACTAAGATCATGCTTCGCCTACCCTGTCCCATGTGCAAGTCCCACCTCTGGGTCTTTTTCCCTAAGCCAACAGCTCTCCTCTCTACCCACTGAAGCTCGTCCTGGCCACCCGCTTGATTTAGGTCAGAAAACAGACACTAACAGCTCTCCCTCGCCTCAGTGAAATTACTAAGTGGAATTTATTGGGCAAGTCCATGCAGGGTGGTGGGGAGAGCCCACATCCTGGGTTAGGGCTGCCACCAGTTTTAGAAACATAGATACAGGCCAGGGCACTGGGAGAGAAGTGACCATAATCTGAGACCATCAGCCCCACCCCGGTAGCTGTGCCGTGCCCCCAGGGCTTAGGGACAGGAGGGGCCCGCACGGACTCCGTTCCCTAGCCCGCCCTTCGCTTTCACAAGATCCACAGTGACTGCACCAGCTCGAGCGCCTTTAAAGGGCCACACACGCCAGCCGCCACTATAAAATGTTCCCGGCCACACAGCTGCACAAGTGCGCTGCTGAGCTGCGGTGAGGAGACTTGCTCCTCCCGGCTGCTCCTCCCACAGCCTATCCGCGCGGGGCTGCTCCCAGCAAGGAGGACCAGACTAGAGGAAGGCACAGCACCCTCTCGGGCCCTCCGTAAGTATCCAGTTCAGATTTTGCCACCAACTCGCCCACGAGCCAGGACATGTGCTAATAATGCCCTAAGCCGGTTATAAAGACGTGAAAATTGGGGGGAGAGGGTAAAAAAGGGGGGAAAGGGGTCTGTCCTTCTTGGGATTCCTAGCCAAGACCAGCCTGCTGCCGTGTGCATGTGCGCCAGGGCTCTCCGGGCGCCCATGGGGGCTTGAGAGCTGGGTCCCCACGCAGAGAACCAAGCGTGGTGGCGGCTGCTAACGCCACCGCCCCGGAGTCCGGCGCCGGAGCTGCGGACCGGCGGGCACGAGAGCGGGCCAGGGCTGATCGGCGCTGCACGGTGCGGTAAGGCGGCACCGCGCGGCTGTGCAGGCTTTGCCCAGGCGCCTTGAGGTCGGGTGGCCTCCCGTGCGGCCGGCCGGGGGTTCTGAAAGCCAGCGGCTGGCGGCGGTGGTGGCTTGAGTACCAAGAGGCTGGGGGCTCGGCCGCTTCGGCCGCGCCGCTGTCCCCGCAAGGTTCCCTCTCTCGGGGCAAGCAGCTTGGCTGGAGGTAAGCAGGGCCGCCGGGCTGGGTGCTGGGCTGGGGCAGCGGGAGCCGAAGGTACGGCCGGCGGTCAGGCAATCCGAGGGTCCTGGGGACTTGTTTGCGGCTGGAGGTGCAGGGCCAGAGGGGGGGACGGCGGCCGGCGGGACTCGGCGGCCACTTGTCTGGAGGAATCCGCAGCACCAGCAGCACCAGCAACACCGGGAGCTCCACTCCCCGCGCCCGCGCTTTCTCGGGCTCTGCTTTCCCCGACTTTGCCAGTCGCCCGGACTGCATCAGGCCGATCCGGGGCTGCACAAAGCTGTTGTTTCCTTGGGGGCTGGAGGCTACAGGGGCTGTGGGCCGCGTCCCGCCAAACCCAGGGCTGCAAGTTGGAGCCTTCGGGTAACTTGCTTTCCCCCACGCAGCGGGCACCGCTCCTGTCCCCGCGCACACACCCCTCTCAAGGGGAAGCAGGCACCAGCCCTTGCCTCCCGGGACGCCTGACCTAGGGTGGGACAGCTAGGCAGGGTCACCCCACTTTTGAGCACTGTGACCTTGGGCAAGTTCTTGCACCTCTGGGAACCTCGAACGTTCTCTTAGCGGGGCCAGGAGCAGCGGCGGCTCCGGACACTCCGAGGACACTCGGAAGTGTTGGCGAAGCGCGCGAGCCGCCACCACTGGCGCCAAAGTGCGCCCCCGCGCGCGGAGACGCTGCGGGTCCCCAAAGTCTTGCTGACGCGGAGACCCCGTGTCTAGTCGCCTGTCTGCTTCTGAGCACCTGAGGTAATAGAAGCTTGGAGCCCTTGGGCACTGCTGCTCGCGCCTGGCGTCCGGGGCTGCATCCAACCAACCCCAGCGCCAGTGGCTCTCTCCGGGCGGGCAGGCGGGCAGGCGCGTCGAGGAGGCCTGGATAGCTGTCGGTAAACAACGGGCCTTTAGTTCTCAGGTGGCGAGGCTCGCTGGACTGCTTGGAGCGCGGGCAAGCCAAGCTGCAGTGCTGTTGGGATATTTTAGATTTCCCAGTAGCAATGGAGATGGAGTCTACCGGTTGGTGCCATTTTTAACTTTTGCTCCCCGGACAGGTTCAAGCCCCCCCCCCCACCTGCAGCTCCCTTTTCTCCCCTACCCCTTTTCATCCTCCCTGAGCTCGAGCGAGGACCGACCGACACGAAGGGTGGCCGGGCTGGGCCGGGCGGCTGGAGGCGCGAGCCGCGGAGCCGGCACTTGTTGCGTTGCGCTGCTTTTTCGCAGCAGCTCCGCGGCTTCGCAGTGGTCACTTCATGGCTTACCCAGACATTCGGAAGTCAAGTTTGTTTTTCCCCCTCAAATGTGCCGAGGGGTGATGGGGTGGGGGATAGAAAATGCGGCCGTGATGGAAAGGAAATATAAGATCACCCCTTAGACGGGCTCAGTGCTTTCTAGGCTGGTGCGCCTAGAGGGGCATGTTACAAGGGCCTGCCGGGCGATCCGACACCAGAGCACAAGCACTTGCCTCGTATTTTCTTCCCCCTGTTAGTGTTGCTCTGGGTGGGTGGGGGTTGTCTTTTGTACATTCGGTTATGAGTGGCGTACAAGGAGACAGAAGATGGATTCGAAGCTGAAGCGATGAAGAACTTGAATAGTGACGCTGCTGGCCCTCCTGATGATGACGCGCGCGGTAGCGCCCTTGTCTGGAGATAGATGGCTGAAAAATCCTAGGGTTACCTCAGAGCACTGTTTGCACTTCAGTCAAGCAGTGGTGCGGGAGCCAGCAAGTGCTCCCTCCATGTTTTCTCTCTTTTTCTTTTTTTCCTTTTGCTTCCCTACCCCACCCTCCGCCCCACCATAGGGGGCTGTTGAAAGGGGGAAAGGATAGTGGTACCTTTAGAAGCCAGCACATTAACAACCACCGGGGATAACAAGGAGAGTAGAGTCCCAGCAAATTCTAACCTCCTCAGGAAAATGACTCCTGGGTTCCTTAAGATGATCATGCTAAAATATATGAAGGTTTAAAAATACGCTTCCGGGAAAATAAGAATTTTTAATTTTCTGAGTTGGAGGTGGTTGTTTGTTACTTTTTGCTTTTTCCCTCATTCTCTTATCTTGACACTTGAGCAAGAGAATCGCTTCTTTAGAAGCCATCTGAGTAATTTCAGGTATGAGGACTTGGCCTATGGTCAGGACAGACATGTGGCAAAGGACTGCTAGATGCTGCTCTCCAAACTGCTGCTTCCAGGCTGAAAATCATCGGATTTTTCCCTCCAGGAAGAATCCTTTCTGTCATCGACACATGGGTGTGGCCTGGCTCTGGGCTCTGGGCCAGTTGTCCTAGGAAAGCCCAATCTAGGGACTGTCTTGTAAGGGCTTGAGACACGGAGGAACTGAGCTATTTCCAGCTAGTCTGTGGCTCCTGCTGTCTCAGAGCATCCAGAGCACCCTGATCTGCTGTCTTCTTCTAGGCATACCCCAAGACAGGGCTCTGGAGACTATAGGTCATCCTCCTGAAATCTCACTTTACCCCAGTCCCATTGGAGACCTGGGTGCTAGTGGTCCATTGACATGGTGTGCTGCTTCCTCGGGGACTTGTCTGCTCTGAGAATCAAGAACAGTGCCACCACCCCCCCACCCCCCGCCTCTGGACTCTGAAATAACCTGTATGAGTAAATGTTCATGTGCTCTCTCTTAGCATTGGGAGTGGTTGTTAGCCCCTGGCTGAATAGAGCATACTTCTGGCCTCAGGTCAGAGTTCCATGTCTGGCTCTGCTCCCTGCCCAGGTGCTCTCTGTTTTGAGTTTAACCCCACCAGCATATCTTTGCGTAGCTGAAGGGATTCACCCTGACTTGGAATTTTCTAGTGATTCCTTTGTCAAGAAAGCCTTTCGCCTTTATTGTTTCTTCTCTTTTACTTACAGACCAACAGCTCCAGCTGGAGGCATCAACTCGAACCAATTTATCTGACTTCTGCCCAGACCCTGAAATGCCAACTATGTCAAGGCCTGCACTCGATGTCAAGGGTGGTAGCAGCTCTGTGAAGGAGGTGGGTTTTGCCACTTTACAGATGGAGATGCTATGGCATGGAAAGATGGACTTTAGGGGAGGAGGCATGCACCAGGCCTTCCTAGGTGTAGCGTGTAGCAAGTGTGCTTGACCAGAGAAGATACAGCAGGGCTTTGGCTGGGGAAAAATGAGAATAGCTTTTGTCTAAAAGTGGTTGAACTGAACTCCCTAGGAGTATTGAAAGACAGGCAGCAGGAAGGGAGCAAAAAGGCAGAATTGGAACAAGACCACTGTGGCAAAGAGTGAGACAGAGGGAAAAGGGGGTGCCCTTTTTAGACCGGGGAGGGGGCGCACACAGTAGCAGGGGAGGAAGGCCCACTTCGGATAATGGGTTCTCCAGGACTACACCTAAGGTCTGAACTTAGGAATCAGAATCATAGTAACAAAAGAAACCTAACTGTCCTGTCCGGAGGCTCTTCCTGCCACCTGTCCACTATTCACACCAAATGCAGAGCATGCAGGAGCATTCCAGATACAGTGAATGCCAAAGAGAAAACCAGGAGGAGGGCTACTATGGTGTACCTTTCTGTCTTCTAGGATGCCAACCAGGAGGTGAACTCTCTGGCCTACTCGAACCTTGGGGTGAAGGATCGCAAAGCAGTGGCCATCCTGCACTACCCCGCGGCCACTTCAAATGGAGCCAAAACCAATGGAACTCCCACTGGCTCCCCAGGATCAGCATCTCCAACAGGCTCACCTACCACCAGCAACCCTACCAAACCCCCATCCTTCAATCTGCACCCTGCCCCTCACCTGCTGGCAAGTATGCAGCTGCAGAAGCTTAATAGCCAGTATCATGGGGCAGCAGCGGCTGCTGCTGCCACTCCAGGCCAACCAGGGGAGGCAGAGCCCCCACAAAACTGGGGTTTGGGTGCCCAGGCAGGAGGAGCGGGAGCATCGGGATCAGCGTCTCCTCCTGCTGGTGCTCAGAGCCCTGCTATCATTGATTCTGACCCAGTGGATGAGGAGGTGCTGATGTCGCTGGTGGTAGAACTGGGGCTAGACCGAGCCAATGAGCTTCCTGAGCTGTGGCTGGGGCAGAATGAGTTTGATTTCACTGCAGATTTTCCCTCTGGCTGCTGATGCCAAGTGTCCCTAAAAATCGAGGAGCAAAGCCACCAATTCTGTTGTAAATAAAAGTTACTTGCAAAGAGATAGCTGACTGGGTGTGTTTTTCATGGGGGTCTAAAGTTGTGGGGTGCACTCTGATAGTCTTGCTAATTCCGGACTGCAAGAGTCTGAGGGGGGTGGGGAGGACTGGCACAGGTGGTCTCAGAACTCTTGCTGCCACAACTGCCCTTATCTTCTGAGGGATCCAGGTACTTAGGTTCAATCCCCTAACACTCCATAAACACTGTCCTGTTGCAGTAGTCTGCAGCTTCCTTGCCATTGGCACACCCTTGGCTACATGGCATATGCTCCCAGAAACTCAGGGTTGAATGGATGGCACAATAGTCAAAGGCACTGCTTTTGCAGAGGACTGGGACTCAGTTCCCACAACCCACCTGGCAGCTCACAGCCATCCAGTTCCAGGGGATCTGACACCCTCTTCTGACCTCCAGCATCAAGTATATATGTGGTATACATATATACAGGCAATGCATACACATACATTTTTAAGTCACCAATCTAACTGGTCCATTCCTTTACCCATTTGCCTTTATGCAACAGATTAGGCCAAATATTCTATAACTAAGCATTCAGATACTGTCATTAATGCAAGATTCCAGATGCCTTCTTCAAGCCCCTCAGCCAACTCTTTGTTCCTCCTCTTCAAGCCTAGAAGAGTGAGCTAGTCTGTTTGTCCCCTAATTCCTACCTTCTTGGGCTACCTGTGTAAGGATGTCCTATTTGGACTGGCCTCTCCAACCTAAAAAGTACAAATGAGGCCCAGGCTTGACAAGTTCAATGTTTACAAATCTCTTGAGGCAATGTCTTCAAAAGAATGCCAAGCAACAAGATAATGACTCTCCCGCAGATCCTGGGTCATAATGCAACGCTGGCCTCATGTAAGGGCTGGCAGCTGCTGCCTACATTTCAGATTCCTGAAGATGTTCTTTCTTGACCATTGAACATTGCTAATTAGCCTCTGGGGGAACAACATGAGGCCTATCCCATGGTGAGCACATTCAAGAAGTCTACTACTAAAGGCACTCACCAAATGCAACCCTCCCTGAGAACCTGCTCAGGGTGGAGCACTTCACTAGGCACTGAGAACAAGAATTGGATAAAGTTTGTACCTTTGAGGGTGTTTCCCGTATCAGAGAAAGAAGGGCAGAAACATCGCAATAAACCTGTATTCTCCAGATCACAAGGAACAGTATTATTGGATTCCAGAAAAAGAAATAGCTCTATTTACCTGGGATGTTTAGAGAAGGTATTGTAGTATTGAACTGGTCCCTTTATTTATTTTCGTATCTCACAAGTAATAAATACATGGTAGACTCTTGTAAAAAGTAGAGGGTTTAGTGAATGTGGCTTCAATGAACGCTTGCCTCACATGCATGAGTTCCTGGATTCCATTCCCAGCACTGCAAAAATCAAAGCATTACTTAAGAAGAAATTTGGGTTGGACATAAATAGTCCTATCTCTGTGAGTTTGAGGCCAGCCTGGTATGCATAGCAAGTTACAGGCTACCCAAGACTACAGAGTGAGACCCTATCTCAAAAAAAATATTTTTTTTCAAGAAAGTAAGTCCAGATACAGTTAAAGAATCCTTTGTCTTACTCTCTCCTTTAATCCTGATTGCCTCTGGTCCTCCACAGAAATGACTGTTTATCTGTTCCTGGAGCGTCCTTGCCAACCCTGCTTTGGGCATTCCTATGAAGATATATCTATCCCTAGGGGGGAAAACCTGTTCTTTTAAGTCTAACAGCTGGCTCTAGAGGGCTCTAGAGGGGTGGCTCGGAGGTCGAAAGGTCTTTGAGAAGACCCAGGTTTGATTCCCAGTATCCACATGGCAGTTCAAACCAACTGTAGCTCCAGTCCCAGATCTGACACCCTCTTCTGGCTTCCACAAGCATGCAGGCAAAACAGCCATCCACATAAAATAAGTCATTTTAAAAATCAGCCACTACTGACGCAGGTGCCGCAGGTGGGTAGAGGGGCAGGGTGTGGTGCAGTGATAAGATGCATTAGTTAGGAACCTAAACACCTGGAGGGCCCCAGGGCCACTCTCTGCAGGAGCCTTCAAAAAAGAAATGAGTCTGGCCAGATTTTGTACCTGTTCCCTAGCTTATTCCCCCGACTGCTGAGCTTTGGGTCCCCCAGGACGGCAGAAGTAGTTGGTGTGAAGAGAGGCCTGAGTAAGGGGTCAGTACCTGGAAATCTGAAAATTGTGGAGGTGACAAGGATACAGTGGGGTGGGGGCAGAGAACAGCCTGGGTGGTGTTAGTGTATTAAGATTCTTCAAAGAAATGAAAACCATATATGTACGTATGTATATTATGACACATATAATGACATAGTACACATGAATAGATGAGATTGTAGAGCTCAAAAGAGTCCCTCAACCTGCTGTCTGCAAGTCAGAGATGCAAGAAAACCAGTGGGACAACTCAGTCTGAATGAGAAGGCCTAAGACAGTCAGAGGGCAGTCATAGCCCCAAGATCTGCAAACCAAAGTTTCAGGAGTGCTGAATAAAGTCCAAGGACAGAAGATGGACGACTCAGCTCACATTCACCGTTCCTCTCCCATTAGTTCTATTCAAGCCCTCAACAGATTAGATGATGCTTATCCACACATTCATTACTCAATCTACTGATTATTTCAAATACCAGTATCTCACAGCCACATCCAGAGATGAAATTGTACTGGCTGTACAGGACATCCTTAGCCCCACTGAAGTTACCACCACACCTAGAGAAGGTGTTTTTGTGAGGAAGAGAGCAACCCTGCCTCCTGGTGTCAGCAGCCAAGAAGTGTGGTCACCTGAGCACGCTCTAGGCAGAGCTAAAGGGGGAAGGGAGGCAAAGTGAGGCTTCTAGAGAGAGTCAGGTCTACTGGGGGAGGGTAGGGGCAGTGAGGATAGGGAAGGACACGGTGGAGGACGGTTGTGCAAATCTCTATTCCTGTGCCACGGTTTCACAGTCAGCCTTCTTCACAGCCGGATACCTTCATTTATTAGGTTACCGTGGAGTTCCAGAAGGCAAATTCCAGGTTCTCCTAGCTTAGGCCCTACTGCGCACAGATTAGCAGCACTGAGTGCTGGCAAGCCGCTCCCCCCAGCCTGGAACAGATGAGGACAGGTAGCAATGTCTCCCAGAGCCTAGTGACTATCCTGTTTCCGGTGGATAAGGTAGAGAGACCCTGTCTGTCCCTGCTTAAAAGAAACTCACAGTTCCAAGGCAGTCATGGCCTTGAAGGATGAATTGGACTTGCACATGGCAGCAAAACGGGTGAGGGTGGGAGCACAGCCTCCAATCAGAGGAACAAATGGAACATTACCAAGAAGATAGAACGGGGCCTGCTGGAAACCAGAACAAAGCACCAGAAAAACAACAATCTTGACATGAGGAGGCTTTTTCAAGGACACAAAGCCCAGAAGCTAGGAAAACATTGATATATTTAACTATGTTATTTAGCTGCATTTTGTGGGAGGTTGGTTTTGGCTTGCAGTGCAGCATCTCACTCTACAGATCTACCTGGCCTTGAGCTAACTGTGTAGTCCAGGCTGGCCTTGGATTCATGGCAAACCTCCTGCCTTACCCTCCAAAGGCTTGAAATTGCAGGCATGCACCACCACTCCAAAGTTTCGGTGCGTTTTAAAAACTGCTTGGCTTCTACACTCTTGCCTCTACTAATCCCAGTACTGCAGAGGTAGAAACAGGAGGATCACAAGTTCAAGTCCAGCCTGAGCTACATAAAAAAGACCAAGTATTGAAAACAACATCCATAGTAAAACACACACACACACACACGTACACACACACACACACACACACACACACACACACGTGCACACACACATACATGCGCCATAAAAGTCAGGCATGGTAGTGAACACCTTTAAATTCCAGTCCTCCTGAGGCAGAGGCAGGTAGATTTCTGTGACTTCAAGGCCCGATAGAGCTGCACAAGGGGACCCTGTTTTTAAAAACAGCATCACACAGATATGGTGGTGCACACCTTGGATCCTGGCACTTGGGTAGTAGAGGCAGTCAGATCTCTGTGTTCTACATGCCAGTCTACTCTACAGAGCAAGTTCTAGGCCAGCCATGGCTACCCACTGAAACCCAGTATCAAAAAAATATACATCATAAATAAAGCCAAAGACAAAAAGTAACCAACAAGGGGCTGGAGAAATGGTTCAGTGGTTAAGAGCACTTACTGTTCTTGCAAAAGACCAAGATTCAGCTCCCAACACCCACATCAGGCAGCTCACAACTACCTGTAATTCCAGTTTTGGGGGATCTAACACTATCTGGATTCCAAAGGCACCTGTACACACATGGTGCACAAAAAAAAAATCATGCAAGCACACACATACACATAAATAAAAATAATAAACATCTTAAAAGATAACCAATATACTAGAAAGTAACTACAATTTATAGGAACTATGAAAGTAATTCCTAGGCATGAATAAGTATAGACTCACTAGATCACTGGTCCAGTATAAAAATAGGTAAATAATATCAACAGATAGTTCACAGAAAATGAAACTCAGAAAAAGAGGTTTGGAGTTTTGAGGGGAGGAAAAACATACATTTGTTTTTAGTGCTAAGGATCAAACCCAGGGCCTCATACTTGCTGCACGTGTCCCATGTACTACCTCTGAGCCATACGCTCAGCACTTAAAATACTCAATAACTAATTTTTCATTGACATTCTTATTATATATTTTTTCGTTGACGTTTTTGTATTTTTTTCCTTCTGTACCAGATCCCCCATCCAATTTCATGCTTTTCTCTAAGAAACAAAACTGGGCATTGGTGACACACACCTTTAGACCCAGCACTCGGGAGGCAGAAGCAGGTGAATCTCTGTGAGTTCAAACCCAGCCTGGTCTACAGATCAAGTTCCAGGACAGCCAGAACTGTTACACAGAGAAACCTTGTCTCAAAAAAGCAAATAAACACACATACACACAAACCATATAGAATCCATTTAGTGTTGTCAAGTGACTCCTGAGCATAAGCCTGTCCCGATGTG